TATATATATACTTCTAAAAGTTTACATATAGTTTCAAATTTAGGCTTACATACAAAATTATTTTTTTGTTCTTAGCCAGTTTAATGAAGCAAAAATACTCAAACAGCTGTTTTATTTAGAAACTGGATTCAACAGAGACAAATTTTTTAGTGTAATTAGTTATGCAGTTCATGTGGACCTACATGTCATTAAATAATTTAATTGCATGTGACAAGTTATTTTTGTACAAAACAAAAGTATTCCAACAAGTTTAGAAACATGCAACATGTATCTTTTTTAATTAATATTTGGAACATTTCAGATAATTTGAGAGAATAAGATTCAGAAGTTGTATATTATTACATATTTATGACAAATTAATATATTGCATGATAAGCATTAAGTCATTCTCATATGTCTGCCTTGTCAATTAAGGTTTTACAGCTGAGCAATGAAGGCACTGACTGTGCATCCATGGTCCCAGACACAAAACTGGTTCCCAGGGGTTCCTAATCTTGAGAGCGAGGAATAGCAAGAGGCAAYGAAGCACCTGCCTTGGGTCTAAAAGGTTCTACAATTATGATCTCAAATACTACAAGCTGCAAAGAGAAACTTCAGCTGATAAAAGGGAGAATGGAACAAGCCTAAAAAATTAAATAACACTCCAAAAAATATCTGAACTCTCCTAAAAATAAAAACTTTTAGCTTGTACTGTTGCCAACAATATATTTGCTTCAATATGTTTGATACAAGAGGTTTGCTAACCAGAGCAGTGAACTGTTAACACCTTTGTCTTCTTTTATTAAACTAAAACACACCTCAAAGGTCTTTTCAGGTATAACAAAGCAGCATTTTACACAGATTTCAAAGAGCAGAGAAGAAAGCCGGTCTTACATGATACATGTCATTGTAGCTGTTTAATTTACTCTTCACATTGCAACATATAACATTTCATATTTTAAAGGCAGATTTTCATCTTATTAAATAGGAACAGAGTAAATACTTCTGTTTGTCCACAAACCCTCCACAGTGGACATTCATTGAACAGAGGCGTCGTCAGAACTGGGTTTTAAGGTGACACCAGGCCTGCCCTTCACACGTGGACTCGCAGGTAAACCAAACACGTAAAATACTCACACATTCCTACATATTGTACGGCGTTAATCCTGCAGATGTGTTGTAGCTGGCACGTACTGCAACTGTAAATAAAGTGGCTGGTGGGAAACCATCTCTTCCAAACTAGAAATAAATTATCTGTGCACCTAATTTATAAAAATAAAATTAAATACAATTTCAAAAAGAGAAAAAAAAGGGAAGAAAAAAATCGTATTTACCAGCATTCGATGCTACAAACAACTGCACCTGGTACACCTCTGTAAATTACYTCAACTGAACAATTTTCTTACTTTTCCCAACGCCATCTTCCAGCTCTTTGCTCACCAGACATATTAAAATTGATGTCAACACTGGGTGTGATTTAGCAACATGAACCGAGAGGACACAATGATTTTAGTCTTAACAARATTTCGTTTTAAACTGGAAATGAAAATCAGGCATTAAAATGTAAACATCAATGAACGGCAAGACAACACTTTCTTTTCTTGATATTGCACAACTCATTACCAAGTCTGAATCCCTGATTATCGCATGCCTTCTGCAGTCTTTTTGGAACTGTGCTCGCTGTTTAGATATCGTTTCTAATTTCAAAGTGGCAGACTGTAGCGAAGGGTGAACGGACTTTTCTACTGGGCTTTAACAAATACTAGTAAATGTATATAATATAACTCATTTCCAAAGTAAATACCTAGCTTATTATACATCTCTTAATAAACTGTAAAGTCACTTTATTTTTAAATAAATCTGAGGCTTGAAAATAGTAAATGTAAAAAAAGAGACTTCCTTCTTTCACTCTGAGCAGATGATGTGTTTGTAGCATCTTAATCAGAAATCTTACAAGCAGTGAAGAATTATTTTCAGCTTATACCAATAAAACCAAGAGTTGAATGATTTGTGGAGTCCAGTTGTGGGGGAAAAAAGATGCCACATGTATCAGACATGAATCTGTTAAAGTGAAACTATTCGGCAATGGCTACAAAAATCTCCTTAAGCATTAATGTTATCTGTTGACATAAATACCTTTGAAGCTTTATGAAAATAGTGGCAACTAAACCATTAAAGAGGAAAATTAAAGTACTTGCTGAAAACGTAGCATCTAAAAAAATAGTTAATTTATAGTTTTATTTCTTTCACACTTTTGGTTCAACATAACAGATGTTTTTAAATGAAATCAGACCATAAAAGCAGTATGTACACGCCCAGCCCACTTGGGTTCGCTCAGTTCAGCCGGCCGTGAACGTGACGGTTTGGTTTGAAGAAGAGTCAGTCGTGATGCACAGAGAGCACAGGTTGCCTGCAGATGGGGCAGGTGTTGTTTTCAGAAAGCCAGCGGTCGATGCAGTGGATGTGGAACTCGTGGGAGCAGGGCAGACGGCGCAGCTTGTTGCCTTGAGCGTATTCGTTGATGCAGACGCTGCACGCACGACCCATTTCCCCCTCCAGGCTGGCCTGACCGTACGTACGCGTGGCCAGATTGTCGATTTGCTCTTTGGTCAGGCCCCTTGGGTGTTCTTCGTCGTCCTCGTCGTTGAGCAGAAAGAAGTGCGCCAGTCGCAGGATGGGTAGAGTGCCGTTTTCTACCAAGTTGTTTGTGTCCCGGCTGTTGGCCCGTCCATCAGCGGCGCCGACACCTCCGCCTCCGGGTGCAGCCTGCCCACTTTGTTCTTCCTCGCTCCCCACCAGCCTCTCCCTCTCCAGCACTACCTCGCCTGCGCCATCCTGGCCAGGCACGGTCTCATTTGAATGTAGACGAGTGGCCGGGCTGGTGTTCCCGTTTGTCCCGGGAACATCTGCGAGGCTGGGCGCAGCYGTTTCAGAATTAGCCTCCGTCTCCATTAGAGAGCTGAGCTCCCCAAAACCAGTCATAATCTGACGCAAGATGGAGCGCAGGGCCGTGGAGTTGGGTTCTCCCAGGCCCGTCTCGCTGATCCGCCTCAGGGGGATCCGGATCGTGCTCACGTACGTGCGGATTCCGGCCCGCTCGAAGCGGGAGATGGTGCGTCGGAATCCACCGCTGTCGCTCTCGAACGTGACGGTGTTCTCGGCGACCCGTGCACGAGAACGCGTTCGGCTGGCGATGCTGTCCCGGTCCCGGTTCTCCCCGGGTCGGATTCTCCTCACCTGCAGGTCCAGCATGATGGTCGGGTGCCGCCTCACGGCTGAGCCTCCCGCTCCCGCCGCGTGTGGTTCCCTCTCGCGCTCCGCGGCTTCCACGGCCGTCTCTGCTAGAGAGGCGGGCTCTGACGCCGTCTCCCCGGCTTCCATCGACACGGAGGTGGTCACGCTGGTCGGCTGGGCGTGGATGGCGAAGCCGATGGGGACGCTGCTGGATGGCGGCGCGGTGCTGATAACAGGCGTTCTGTGTAAAGGGGAACGACTCCGTCTTGACACGCGAGATGAAACGCCGCTCCCCGTCGCAGCCCTGCGGGCACGGCCACGTGATCGAGTCCTGCTGCTGCGGGAGTCGTGTCCTGCAGCCGGGGCTTGAGTTTCAGACTGGGGCGACACCCAAGGACAGTCTTGAGGAGCAGAAGTGCCGTCACGCCCGTGCTCCACCTCTTCATTCGGGTGCTGATGCTGAGGCGGTGTACTCTGAGCAACAGGAGGACTGGGAGCAGTGGGAGAAGGTGCTGAAAAGTGCAAGGTTGTAGCCCTCCTTTGAGCAGCAGCAGAGCTCAACTCTGGAGGAGGGGGTACGGAGGGGCTCATAGAAAGCATGGTAGTGCTGCTCCGTGTGCGCCGTGTCTCCATCCTCCTGCTGATGGCCGGACGGGGGGAGGGATAGGGGGCCGACCTCGGTGCAGCTGAAGGACGAGTGCTGGCGAGGGAGGTACCAGTGCGTATGGAGGGTGCAGTCGTGTTTAGGGGAGTCAGCTCTGCCGTGTCTGCGGAGCTCACGCCGTCGATATGCTCTCCGGGCTCGGGCTGGTCGTGGTTTATGTTGATCTCAAGGCTGAAACGGAACTCGCCGCTGTTAGGGTTGGTCCGACTAACAGCCCGCCACGTCTGGTTGCCACTCTGCCCGCTTCGAGTGGCGTTACCGGTGCGTCTAAAAGTGTTAAGCCATTCCAGTAATGAATCGCCATTAGATGATTCTGCTCCAGGTTCAGTGCTCCCTGTAAGAAACAATTATGGGTAAGACTAAGTCAAATGACATGGAAGAAMGCACAAGATGTAACCCTTAGTGCTTTGCAATCATCAAGATTTAGATTTTATTATAAAAATTATAATTTAGCAAGTTTAAAAAGCATACATTTCTCTAATTTGATCTTGGTTTGTTCTTTGGCCTCTTTATCCATAAAAACCCAATCAACTAAAACCATACAACCATGAAAAGAACCCTTCCATCCATCCTACCTGTCCCTCCTCTTCCTCCAGCCCCTCTCTCCTCTCCCCCACTGCTGCTGCTCTGCTGTTCTGCAGAGTCAGCAGGCTGTGAGCGTTGTTCAGTGTGGGGCTGAGACAATACACGCTCTTTAGCGCCATCCAGACGCTGCTGCAGTTCCTCTGCAGTTACCTCACCTGTGAAACATCGCAGACATGTAAGGGGTTATTATGAGATGTGAGCACCAGCGAAACCACTGCTGTACCCTAAACTGTAGGCATTACATAATTAAGCAAACTAAAGATTTTGGACTAATCCTATTTTTTAACCATTTGATATGGCATTTCCTAATTTGTGAAAGAAGAGTAACCTACAGGAGCAACACGTTTTTTTTTTATTTCCATAAATTAGACATTAACTGTATGTTCTCAAAACAAATCCACTCTTAAATAACTCTCCAATTCTGAATCACTTTGCAAGACTTAAAAATCGCATAAAAAGGCACTGAACTTTTCCCCCCTAACGTTGCAACAGAAGGAGAAAACATCAGGTAACAATACATGCTCAGCCACTGCACTGGTTTGACCCTCCTCACCTGGGGTACCCAGCAGGTTGCTGTCTCTCATGAGACGGTAGTCCTCCTCACTCAGTTCATTAATGAAGTGATAGTACGCCTCCTCCCGTCGAAGACGCTCTGCCTGCCTCCGCCGTTCGTCTCCCCCACCAGGAGGGTCCATCACCATGAGAAGTGCTGGGAGGAAGATGAGCAGGAGTGTCAGTCACTGACAGAATAGCATCTGAAGCTACTCACAGTAGCTGGAAAGCTGGAAAAACTAATGTCAAATAATGGTTCCGTCACTGTGATGTGATGCACTGAAGCAAATTAAAGCCGCTCAGTTATTAATAGGAGCGAATGTTAAGACCAATGTCAACCATTTTCTTTACTCTACTAGCTACTCTTGCTAACGTTTAGCCTGAGCATTAGCGACAAAAAATGGTCTATTTTAACATGTGAACATGCTCGATTTTCTGGCAGTGAAAAACAGCGAACATGCGTCATAATAACGATGTAGCCGCCGTGAAAGCTAATATTACACAAGTGACAGTAGTATCTACAGAAGGCCATGTTGAAGGGAGGCTAATGAAGAAGCCAAATTGCCATCGCCGTCATCGTGATCAGTAACCAATCAGCGGCCCAGTCTCCCTGACAGACTAGCCAGGCAGCTAATCGCCACTCCGCAAAGGCGGGGCATAAAGAGCTAAACTGAGGTTTCTTCCATGTAAACGCAGAGCAGCGAAGCAAAGACAAAGAATCCTGTCAGCAATGTTGAACAGCAGAGTCATTAAGATGTTTGCACCCAGCAGAAACATAATGCGCTATTACCCAAACACACCAGTCCGCTTTGTAGACAGTTACAAAGAAAGAGGCGTCATTTTGAATGCGCAACGTTTCGGGTGTTAACTGAGCATGTTAGCACAGCCAGCAATCAAGTCGATCCAACCACTGTTAGCACGAGAAAACCTATCAAAATCGCCACGAGGAACAAATTAATCAAGGAGGAAACGTACATAAAACTTCACACTTGACCGAATCGTACTTTACGAAGTGATGACAGTGACATTTAAAAGATGCAAATACCTGACAAAGCAGCTGTAATATGGACGTTTCGCTTTGCTCTCACCTCTCTCAAATCAAGATGGGACCAGCGGTACGAACAATAAAATGTCCGTCAAAAACAACATCCCCGGCTCGTTTGTTCCTAGGAACAAAACAAATAGCAAAAACAAACAAACAAAGGGCTTTGTTCATAGTTACATGGTTCAATGTCAGAAATGCACATCAACAAAATTATTAAGGTGACATTTGTTTAAAAGGAAACCTTGACTAGACGTTTAAGCAGCTGTTTTTAATGGATAAAAGTGCACATTTTATTTGTCTCAAAGGTGAGGTTGCAACCACACTGGGGGTCATAAAACGCTGAGGTTGAATGGGTCTGTAGATAATCTCCAAAATTTCTAATTCAAACATGAATGCTATTGTATTTTTATTACTATTTTACAAGAAAATTAAAAAGGTGCTCAAAATATGAAAAAAAAAATCGGTTTGTCTCTAAATTGTTCATGTTTTTGTTTTGGACATCAACTGGTACTCATCAGGATCACAAGTCTCCATAAGTGTTAATTTTTTGAGCCAGAGGCTGATTGATTAATTGATGCACATAGAAAATAAAATATATAGAAAAAAATATGTTTGCTGTTTTTTGTTATTAAAAACACATTACTATCATACCAGCCAGTTTTTATGAACATGACTTATTATTACTTATTATTTTGGCTGTTTTTTTTCTCTCAAATACAAAAAAAAGATAACATCAAGATTAATGAATGAGCCCACAAAACACAAACCCATTGACTTAAAAACTGTGAGTGGAAAACAAGAAACCTTTCATAACCATAGCAAAAACTACAAGCTGTACATTCACAATATATACATGATAAAATAGGTGTAGTGAGGAAGAACAATGTTACATTTTTATTCGTATCTAACAACTAAGTTAGAATATGCGAATGTGGATATATGATATTGAAAATCTTCTGTAAAACAACTGATATGCTATCATCTTTACTACTATTGTGCAACCTACAGTACATTTACGAGTATTTTAAACAGACCAATTTATTTTAAGTGTGTGAAGTTTGTATGATCATTTCCTTGCAACAAGGTTATAAAYTAATCATTATTCATACTTATCACATGCCAAAATCCTGAACATTCCTAAAAACAAACAATGCCAGTCCTTAATGCTGTGTATATTTGTAATTGTAGTTTGTAGTTCCCTTCTGCAACCTTGCATTAATATGAATTTGTTTTCAAATCTATTATGTTCATGATTAGCTAAAACATTTAAGTCTATTGTGAATCAAAACACTAATATTACATATATCTTTTCCCCCAAAATAAAATGTCACATTTGCATAATTTATTCTACTTTACTGGTATTRTTTCATATTCATAAACAGCTCATAGATTATCAGTAAATATCAACATAGTCAGGAAAGATGTACTTATTATAAACAGTAAAAAGGACATAACTTGGTCTTATTCGCTTGAAATCAAATGAAAGAGAACTATTCAGGCTATAATTAAAGAAATGTGACTTTTTCTTATCCAACAGGACCTTTTTGAGAGAGTCTTACATATGTAAAAAATGTGTCAAAAGACCACTTTTTAATCATGTACATTTGTGATTAATAACTGAATTCATATCTCAGCTGTAATWTTTCCAAACACTAATTTCCACGTGGTGGACTCTGCCTGTCCATTTTCCCATCTTCTTTCTTCTGCTGCGGGGAACAGACTTTACGACGTTTTACGACACTGCCGTCGTAAACCGACCGAAGTGCGTCTCTTTGGAGCAGATACCGGTTGGGGAGAAACGCAGCAACAACAGAAAGAAATCTAACATTTGGATTCGCTTTCACCTGGACTATCTCCGAGCGTCGCGCACCCCGGTCCGGAGCAATAAAATCGACCCGAAAACTCGATGCGGAAGCCGGGTGTAAAGGAGGAAAAAGGCACGCTGCTGGGGAAGGCAACTATCTGAGATACCAAAAAACCCCGAGCTCAGGCGGTGGAGGAGCCCAGCTGCCTTAAAATAATTTTTTAAAAAAAAGGAAGGCACACTTTTTCAACCCAAACCGAGGTGAAAATGGACTATGACTTTAAAGTGAAGCTGACCGGCGAAAGAGAGCGTGTCGAGGACCTGTTCGAGTACGAAGGATGTAAAGTGGGAAGAGGCACCTACGGTCATGTGTACAAGGCGAAGAGAAAAGATGGGTGAGTTGATGAACAGCAGGCCTCCAGCCAGGCAGCCCTGCCTCTAAATCCGTTTAAAACGACTCTTTCTTCCATTTCAGGCAGGCGTGCTGCTGTACATTGTCAAAACCCGTTTATTACAGTGATTACATGTATTTAAAAACATATATTAAATGCTTTAGTTGCTGAATCATGCGCCTTGGAACGTTTAATGAAGGTAGATATTTTTCTGAACTTCACATATAGCAGGTGCTTATTGATTAATAGCCTCTGTTTATGGGCGTTTACATGCAGAACAGGCCTGATTGTTTTACGTTTGCATCTAGCTGAGTTTATGCTTGTTCAAATAGTTGGGCAATATAGTCTAAAAATAACTACTTATGTGTAGGCAAAATCTTGACATTCTCTAGGTTGTCCCTTAAGCTTATCTCATTGTGTGATGGAAATTGTCAAATTTATTAATGTTAAGGCTTTAAATACACATTTWAAATAATTTAGAGGTACTTTTAACACTTTTTGTGTGATGCTCTATTGCTGGAAAGTTGTGATGTTTTCTGAGACAGGTTAAAAAAAATCTTCCTATTATAAGTTGAAGTAGTTTTGTCTAATGAATGTGTTAAATGTTAATATAGAAGAGTTGTGATGCATCTGCATTTAGGTTAGAAAAGATCTGAATCCTGTCGCAACACATCAACCAGCATTTTCACAACCTTTGTTGCTAATTTGATGTTATTTTTTGTGTGTTTTTAAAATTTGTATGTATTTTGGCAAATTGTAGGTCTTTTTATAGTGACTTTCTAACATTCTCAGCTTCTGCAAAATGCTTTACACTAATCCAGCTTTCTGTTATGTTATATTTTAAGGACTTTTTAAATCTCACTCATACACTGATTTTTTTTTTTTTTGTGGGGGGTTGAGGGGTTAAGTGCCTTGCTCAAGAACAGTTTGTCACTGCTGAAGCTGAGAATCAAACCCTGGACCTTATCCACAAGGGTCTTTTATTCATTATGGGTAAATGTCCCAACACAAAATGAGGGGAAAGATTTCCCCCATCTGTGGTCACTTTGTTTTCTTGTAAATATGTTAAAATAGGGGTTTCTAAAGTTGAGGTTGGGACCCCATAGTGGGTCACCGAACAACTGAGGAGTCCTGAGACAATTTTTCAAAATCAAATAAAAGTTAGAGATACTTGCTAACAGAATATTTTTCATAAAGTTCTTATTTTAAATATCCATCAGTAATAAAAACAACTACTTTAATAATTGTTTAGGCTTTTTGTTCTGTCCTTGTGTTTTTGGCTTTTTAGYGATTAAACCAGCAACAGTTGGATCACAGGTCTCTGATTCTTTTATTTTCTTGGTAAGAACCTAAAAAATTTGAGAGCCACTGTGTTGCACTGTTCTCTACCGCCTTCCTTTACTTTCTAAAACTCTCCTGCTGTTTCTTTATCCGATCTTTGTAAGAACCTCAGCTGTATCTGGACCAAAGCTGGAAGGAACATGAGCCACAACCCCGTGCAAAACCCGTTATGGCAGCCTGGACTGTAGATCCAGCAGGAGCCACTTCTTTAAAAAAAAGCCTTGATGTGTTGCTGCTGTTTATGAGACTCTTAAGTTCTGCTGCTACGTTTGGCCGAGGCCAGAGTCACAAAGAGTGAGTTTATGAGATGATTTAGGCCTGGAGTGGGGAGGCTGGGAGGGGTAACCAATTTATTCAAGTGAGGACCAGTCCAAGTGCTCTGTTTGTCTCTTACCAGCTGCCAGACAGAGCCTGTTTCCTCTCCCCATTTTATTGTTTAGAGTCTCTGAGGTGAGCTTGATTACACAGATCTGGAGGTAATGCAACTTGGCCTCTTCTCTGGGTCCCTGTGCCAGCTGCCAAGCGTCTCCCCCCAACCACACACACACAGTCCCTGCTTCAGTTCTGTTGCTGTGCACACAGCTCTCTGGGGGCCTGCAGTCTGGTCTGGTGTTGATGTTGCTCTGCCTCTTTCTGTGTTTGTAGGAAGGATGATAAGGACTACGCCCTCAAGCAGATTGAAGGCACTGGTATCTCCATGTCAGCCTGCAGAGAGATTGCAGTAAGAACTGCTTTTCTCTCTRGCTTTTCTTTTGTTTGGTTTGTGGGGGAACATATCTCATTCCTAAGTGTGGAAGCAACAGATGTGCAGTTTAGAGATTATAAATCKCACATTTTATGATGAAAGAAATGCATTTGTTGCAACTTTTGTATTAGTAGTGTTTCTCTCCCTAATATTTATCAATATGTATGGTATTATTCCTTATAKGTAGATGCAGGGAAGTTGTGTAGTTGTTTCTCTGAGTGAGTTTATATGTTGCAGCTGCTGCGGGAGCTGAAACACCCCAACGTCATCTCACTGCAGAAGGTTTTCCTGTCACATGCGGACCGTAAAGTGTGGCTGCTGTTTGACTACGCAGAACATGATCTATGGGTAAAAAGACGAGCATAACCGGAACTTTATTATGCAATTTATCAAAGATAACATGACTTTTTTCCTTCCTACTCTTGAAAAGAATATGTGTGAATGCTTTTTGTGTAAGTTTATTCATGTATAATACTAGAAATTTAACCCTAAAAAYGATCCATAAAGTGGGGGGTAGTATTATACATGGGTTATTATTGATTAGATTTTTTATGCATTTTAATCAAATCAAATAATTATGATCGTATTGTACATGAATAAATATGATATTTTGAGCATTTATTTATTCATTTTTTAAGACAAAAACTCGTGCACATTCTATTGATTTCAATATTATTTTCCAATTAATACACTTAAATATCATCCACTGCTTAAGACGAAGGCAGATGATAATGTTTTTTTTCCATTTTTTCCATGTGTATTTGTGTCTTTTATCAAAATGTTTCCTGACCCACTGGACAAATTTTGATGAAACTCAAGTGGATGTATGTCTAACTGATTAACCTTTAAAGTAAACCTAATTCAAAATGGCTGCCACAGTCAACTAACCCTAGAAATAAAAAAATAATGACTCCAATGCAGTCTATTTTTCAAATATTAAGCTAAAATTTGACACAACCGTAGCTGAGAATTATTCACAACACATACTCGGAGCAAGACATCTAGCATTATTGCATGCATAGCRGTTTTTAAAAGCTTTGACCTAAATGGCTACAACTCCCATCATTTCTCTGCATGAGCTGATATTAGTCTGACATTTATTTGGAAAGTCGGCGGGTGATACATATTTCTTTAAGAAATGCTAGGTTTTAGCTAGAAAATTATTCATTGCTAAGTCTCGGTGAAAAACGCACCAACTAGTATCCCACATTTGGTTGTAAAACCTCTGTTCCATTACAGCCTACGCTTACAGCTGGCAGCGTATCAGAGCAGAGTTAAATACTGTTTCCCACCACAGAGCTGCGACTCTTTTACGCTGCCCGTTGAAAAAGTGAAAACATATGCCTCAAGCATCAGCACTGCCCATCTTCTCTGTAGCTAACCTAAAATGGTGATAGGGTTTGTTTTTAAAAAAAAAGGCACATTTTGTTCAGAATTCACACAGACCACACTCTGACCATTATCTTCTTTTCTTACAGCACATTATTAAGTTTCACAGAGCCTCCAAGGCCAACAAGAAGCCACTTCAGCTGCCTAGAGGAATGGTCAAATCTTTGCTCTACCAGATTCTGGATGGCATCCATTATCTCCACGCCAACTGGGTCCTCCACAGAGACCTTGTAAGAAGATGGGGTTCTGGAGGCAGAGGGGGACATRTATATGTTTATTCTTTTCTAAATAAAAGGGTGACTAGAGTCTAATTGAAGCTGTGTCAATCAACATTGTTGTTAAGTAATTATTACACATTAGCGTGTTTATTTATTCACAGTATTTTATATATTATTTAAAATACACGTTTCTATATTTTTAATTAGTTTTGGGGTTTATTTAAAAAAAAAGAAACAAGATATTTGAACAAAATGATGCAGAGAAATCATTTGTCCACTAGAGGGCAGCAGCAAATAGTTTACATCTGCAATACCTAATCCTGGTGGTCRAGGCCCACGATCCTGGATGTTTAGTTGTTTCTCTGCTCTTCAGCAGGCCTTTAAGTTCTGCAGAAGCCTTTTATCCATTCAAAGCAGGGAAACGTCTCAGTTTTGGATTATTTTTATCTTTTGATCTGTTGTATGACTAAATGAAACTACTAAATTTGAGATGTTTCTCTGCTTTGACACACTTTAAATGCAYGAGTGTTCTACAGAAACCTCTTCTTCTGTAGAATTTAACAACCTGCTAAAGAGAATGGAAACGTAAAACTTGTAGGATGGTGTTCAACCAGAACCAGGATTGGGCACCACTGGTTTAGATTCTGCTTCCTAAAGTTACATACAGTATGTGGGCTGTAGAGATGTTTTCATCATTGTATATCTTCCTACTTGTCACCATCAGAAACCAGCAAACATTTTAGTGATGGGAGAAGGACCTGAGAGGGGTAGAGTAAAGATTGGTATATATCATGTCTTAACTCTTCAAAGTGTCATTTATTGTCTTGGTTTGATTTCATTTTATTGACCGAGCCTGTCCGTTCTGCAGCGGACATGGGGTTTGCTCGTCTCTTCAATTCACCGTTGAAGCCTTTAGCTGATCTCGACCCTGTAGTGGTCACTTTCTGGTACAGAGCACCTGAACTGCTGCTGGGGGCTCGGCACTACACCAAAGCCATCGGTGAAACTTTTGCACTTTATTTTTTATTTTTTGTTTTGTTTTGCTGATTTCRCAGAATCGCTGAAGTTATTGTTTGTTTCTGTCAGACATCTGGGCGATCGGCTGCATTTTCGCGGAGCTGCTAACGTCTGAGCCCATATTCCACTGTCGCCAGGAGGATATCAAGACCAGCAACCCGTACCACCACGACCAACTGGACCGAATCTTTAATGTTATGGGCTTTCCTGCTGGTGAGACTCCTTTACTAACTAAATATTTTAGGTTAAAATAATAGCTAATAGTGTTTTGTTAAACCAGCAAACATACAATTCAAGCTTTTTCCAGTTGTTCGTCTGTTCTGTGAGTCAATGTGGTGAAACTTTTATCATTTTCTGTTCCTGGCTAAGTCACGTAAATTCCTTGGTTTTTACTCGATCTGTTTCTGAGTTTAATAATGTGGTCTGCAGATTCAGAACATCAGATCACAGACTCCATGTGGCCAAGTCACAAACACAGAAATGTTTGCTTGCAGGCCTACATTTGGACGATAATTTCCACTTCACTTAAGCTGCTTCTGATATTTTCTTTTTCTTCCTTCTCTCTGCTGCTCCATTTATTCAGGACACCAATCAGTTTTAAGAATATATTTGAAGACTGTGCAGTACATTGCTTTTTGCAGACAACTCAATAAAACTGAGGTTATGAAAAAGTTAAAAACAAAAAAACGCTTAGTGATTACAGTAGTTATGTTCTGTAATAATAAAGATTTTAATATTTACATTATAAAATGTGATTTATGTTCTTTTAAATTTACTGTTACTATGAAATAAATATTATATATAGATATAATAATCTAAATATTGTTTTCCTTTTAAACAAGGACATACTGTAATGTTTTTTTCTCTTCCTTCCTCTCATTTGACAGATAAAGACTGGGAGGACATCAAAAAGATGCCGGAGCACTCCACACTGATGAAAGACTTTAGAAGGAACACGTGAGTCTGCAGACCACCTTTGTCCCAGTTTTTACAGATCAAAAACAAAGCTAGAGTAAAGCAAATAATATCTGCAGGAAAAATACGTAATGCAATTATGTAATCCCTCTGTTTTACATATTATCTTTATTGTATGTGGTAATGATCCTGAATGTAACAAATAAGTATCATTTTCTTGTGTTTTTTTAAAAGATACACAAACTGCAGCCTTATAAAATACATGGAAAAACATAAAGTTAAACCAGACAGTAAAGCATTCCACTTGGTGAGTTAAAGTTTGTCCATACTAGATGTAAAGTTCTGGTYTGGTCTGGTTTGGGACTAAAATTGTGATCTTCTCTACAGCTGCAAAAGCTATTGACCATGGACCCCATCCGTAGAATCACATCTGAGCAGGCGATGCAGGACCCCTACTTTTTAGAAGAACCTCTACCCACCTCTGAGTGAGCGACAGAAGATGTTTAGACATTAGTTTTTGAACACTTTGATAACTAAAGATGACAATTTTTATTTTTATTTTTCCCTTCTAAGTGTGTTTGCAGGTTGTCAGATTCCTTATCCCAAGAGAGAGTTCCTGACAGAAGAGGAGCCCGAGGACAAAGGAGACAAAGTAAAATTTCCTTTGTATATTATTCTTATTAAAGGGAGGATATTATGCAAAATCTGATTTTTTTTAGCTTTATATCATGTAATAATGTCATTCCCTCATCAAAAACATACCCTGAGTGTTGCTTTGAGTCCTTCCTGCACGTTTGAGAAATCCTTGAATCTCCTGTAGCCATGTGGAGCTGCCTAAATGCTTGCTGGTACAAAGCTCCGCCTGTTTACCCAAAGCTCCTCCCTGGAGCTCTGTTCCTAGCTGAGCTCCTGCCCCACAAAGCATCCCTCCCCAACACAGCTCCTCCAAACGTATCTTAAAAATGGTGGACATTCATGTAGCATTGTTGTGGTGAAGTGGGAGTGTCAGAAATGGTAGGAAGTTCTTAAAGAGACAGAGGCTAATTTCAAAGCTTTGATGCAAAATCCAATTTATTTTTGTTATATACAGCATTTTCATAACAATTGAAGGTAACAGCCTTTGATTTTGGTAAAGAAGTGAACTTTGGGTCTGGAAAATACATAATAAAACCTGTATAGAAAACTAAATATGTCAGCAGTTTACACATTTAGGAATTTTTATTTTTTATTTTTTGTGTGTGTTTTTTAGAAGAACCAGCAGCAGCAACAGGGAAACAACCACACAAATGGGGCGGGGCATACTGGCAACCCAGAAAATAGCCACGCCCAGGGCCCACCTCTGAAGAAAGTGCGAGTTGTCCCTCCCACCACTACCTCAGGTGGCCTCATAATGACCTCAGACTACCAGGTGAGTTTGCTGTTCCACTGTGTTAAATAATTTGGATCTAAAAGAAACATTTGGTGCAAATTGATACTGAATCTGTAACCTGAAGAGCTTGTAAAATTTTATGTATTTATTTTTTATCCTTGCAGCGCTCTAATCCACATGCTGCCTACCCGAACCCTGGACCAAGCACATCACTGCCACAAAGCAGCATGGGATACTCCTCTACCTCCCAACAGCCGCCCCAGTACTCCCACCAGTCCCACCGTTACTAAAACAACCCCTCTCACAAGAAAACACACATTTTTAGACACACGTACACACAGCCCTAACCATGCTCACCTGAACGAATGTACCGAGGGATGTGGGGATGTCCCGACGCAACAAACCTTCCCAGCAACCAACAACCCCCTCCCCTCTTCCCATCCTACAGAGGGCACTATCTGCTGCGTTTAATTAGTCCAGAAAGTCAAAAGACTTCACCTGTTTCAGACTTCACACCACAATCCCAGTATTAGAAATACAGCGTAGAGCAAAGGATGTTAGGTAGAACACAAGGCAGGAGGATAAACAAAAGCAAAAAAAAAAAAAGTGAACCTCTACCATTACTCACAGTAAACACAAAGAAGATGGCTTGGTTTGGAGGACACACATTAACCTGTTGTGCCATCTCCTTCTTTCCTCTGCTTCAGTTCCTCTCATCCTGTCAWAGCTTGGATGAGCCGAAAGCTGCTWTGTGACTGCCAGCGTTGACAGGTTCTCAGTCTGTCAGTCCTCCTGTCTGTTTATTTTTCTGTGTATGGGCCACAGCTGAGGACTGAACTGAGCTGCTAAGAAGCATACAAGGACATTGATGACCTCCACACAGTTGTGGAATAGAGGGGTTTTTGTTCAGAAAGGACAAAAAAAAAAACAAAAAAAACAAACAAACGTGATTTTAGTAGTTTATAATTTAATCTGTTGTCATGGTTTTGTTTTCATGACAAGAGTAGCATAGCAGCTTGTGTGACATGAGCACTTGGCTGATGTATGCTGTGGGTAAGCCTTACGACATGACGACAAAACCAACCAATCGCATGGAGGATGGCAGATGGAACATGCATTGTACTGTATTGCATTGAAATATTTTACATGAAACAAGTATCCTGACAATAAAAGTGGAAACATTTGTTTTGTTTGTATTTTGGAGGAGCGTGTGCATGAGAGTGGTTTTAATGTTAGATTTTTTTCCCCACGTTTTTACTTTGCAGAGTCATGTAAGCCAACCAGAAAACAACACAATCTTTACAACATGGGAAAATATATGACAGCACCCTCTTTAAATGCAAAGATTTTGTGCATTCTTAAGTTAAAACGTTTTGCAAATATATCGTCCATTGAAAATTGGATATGTATAAAGGGGCAGATCATCAAAGAGAAAATATATTTCAGTTATGCAAAGTATGAAAATCTGAAAACAAAGCTTTACAGCATATTTGATTTGACAAGTTTGTTTGCCTACATAAACTACAAGCAGTGTAGGTCAGTCGTATGATTCAAGCTTCCTTTTGATTTTTCAGAGGCGAGAGCATTGTTTACACTGAGTGAGTACCCACATTACAGAATCACATCAAAATATTTGGAAAATTACTGCAATAAACTCTTTCAGACTGCATTTCTTTCTACCTGGATTACTGAGATGCATCACGACTTTCAGACTGTTTTTATGTGGTTCAGGACAATGTTTTATATACTTTTTAAATCCCAGCATGCTGTTTCTCACATTATTTGCTTTTATTTTAGCTTTACTTTGTGCCATAATACTACTATAAAACTAAATATTGAAAGTTATTTTGAATAATAATGTTTTTGAGAGTACTCAAATCCGTATTTAAGATTACAGCATAATATACAAGGAATGGGACCTGGCTATATGATGGAAAGTCTTCAGCAACGCCCAACCCGCCCCTTCCATTCTCAAAAGTGTTTTCTCTGCCTGGGGTGGGTCCCTGTCTGTTATCTTTTTAGAGACATGCCATTGGTTGTTAAGAACGTTTGTCACACGCGAACCCCTCTGTGCGCCTGTATGATTGGTTCTTGGGAGCGGTGGGCGTGTCTTCGTCCTCAAAGGATTTTCACCGGAGTGGTCAGACAGGGCTGATACAGGATGGCAGAGCTAATAGGAGTATCTAACGGTACATGCGGGACGAACTGATTTCTTCTAATATTTCAAGCACTGGTGAGGGCCCTGTAATACTTTTTACAACATTAAGTATCACCTTCTATCGTAGCTGTGACATTTGTGTGATTATTTATGTAGACTCTTTCCATATTTGTTCAAACAAAGTAGTCGAATTACGGACATATGCTAGCTAACCGGTCAGTCAGAGCGGACCCCCGGTCAGTGAACGGAGGATAATACACGATGCTGAGGCAGTGAATACTGTTATTTTTGGGTCGCATTACATCATTTTATTTGGAAAATTATTACTTGCTATTATTCGGTGATTTATCATATCTAAACCGATATTGGCTTGTTTAATTTTAGATAAAAATGGCGCAGAAAGTGGGGAGCGAGGTGGACGAACAGATGTGGGTCAGTCCATCGGTAACGGGAAGCGATGGTGCGGAACACTGATTGATCGGGTTTACCATAAATTTACGCCTCTGTCTAATGTTTATGTGGCAACTGTCATCCCAAGGCATGAAACCAACACACTAAGACAAGACAAGTAGTTAGATATTTAAATAGAGATTATGCCAGTAATGATTTCTTTCTTCCTTTTTTTTTTTTTTTAGAAAAAAATAATAATATTGCTGCACAATGTCAACTTACCATGTTCAGTAAACTAAACTATTACAAACAGACACAAATACAAAACATACAAATCAGTTAGCAGTTTTTAATAATTTATCTTTTTTATCTGTTTTAGACAAAACCTTGGAAATAACATTTTGTGCAATGTCATGATGTCACTCTCAGAGTATATGTTGTGAAAGACTCAGTTACTACCACATCAAATTTTAGCTCGGTATCTGTGAAAATGACTGAGTTGTATCTATTTTTGCATTGGTTCATGTAGAGTTGCTGCAGCAGCAGTCTTAAATTATAATGACTCCAAAAGTTAATTAGTTGTATTTGTACATCCAATTATTACTTTTTGCAAGTTTCATTAAAATGTGCAGTTGTCCAAGGAATAACTTGCTAACAGACTGGCATGTGCATCAATTGATTTAAGTTGAAATGTTAAGCAAAGATCTTTTTGATGAGCCTTAAAACTACACTAAATTTTAGCACGATATCTGTAAAATTGACAGAATTAAAGCCATTTTAATGTTTTCTAACGGTAGCTGAACTTATTGAGTTGTGTTGGCTTCAAAAGCTAATCAGTTGTAAACGTATACCTAATGATTATGTCCTAAATGTTGCATTAAAATCGCCTAAAATTTGGTAATAGCAACTTGTGATTGGCAGCTTCTGGAGGTATCAGATGCTCAAAATAAGTGTCAATAACAGCAAAAAAGAAGCTTTTTGGCAAAAAGGTTTGGCAAATTTTTCATGCACACAACCCACATATTGAGCTAACCCCACAAATGCATGTTTCTTACAAATGTGGCACCATTTAAAAGGGAAATTGACAGTGGTATAAAACTCATTACCAAGAAGCATTGTTACAAGAAATAATCTACCAAACACAAATTTGCTCATTTTTTGTGCTTGGTTTATCAAGAAACCTCTTTATTTTACTGAATTTACTCCAAAATTAGCAAATGAGCCAATGAATGCATTGCTGTTTTTGTTTATTGGTGATGAATTTCCAAACTTTGAATAGCTTACCCAGCCAGAACTAAATTAGCTTCTTAGCTGGATCTTTTATCCATCCGGATTATAACACTTGGATTATGTTTGGATTAAAAAGCCAGATATTCAGGCAAAAATTAATCTTAAAGATTTACTCATAAGATGCAGTTTTTAAGGCTTAGTGAAAATTTTATATTTCCAGTGAAGCCAGGGCACTTAAAATGTTCAAAATCACAATAAATGATTCAAATGAAAGCGTGTTTCCATTAAAAAAACACATTTTTTATTTGTTTAAACTCCACAGTAACATCTTACTGCAGACCTGACAGGATTGAATAATCAAGTAGTTTGACCCAAACTGCATCCTGTATGTCTGAATCGTATTGGACTAAAGAACATTAAAAGTCACTACAGCGGTTTTATATTTAAACATTATATTTAGGGCAGTGTGACCTGACGTAATCTGGGCTGCATTATTCATAACATCAGACCAAGCAAATCAGCCTCTGACACAAGAAGCTGTACTCAGCGCATAAATTGGTAATGACTCCCCTTTTCCAGTACTTAATGGAGTTTATCTATCTGCCGTAGTGAGGCCTCCATCATTGCTGTGGGTTGGTGTGGAGATGTGGGCGTTCCGCAGGGGAAGTGTGTTTTAGCCCGGATGCAGCCTGAGTGTCACATCTCCGAGGATCAAAGGTGGTTTTGCTGCTTATGGGACTGTTTATACACTGCTAATGGGATGTTTTAGGGGCTACCTGGTGTGTTGTTGGGCATTTTGTTTAGCTAAGTTAAAATCAAAGCATCCGAACACATGACCCTGAGGAGCTGTGAACATTAGAGTGGGAATATGTCTCTCTTCCTCCCTGAGTGAGTGGGAATGAAGGAGGAGTGCTTTCACTGCTTTATTAGTAAAGGGGGCCTTAAAAGAAAGTGGGGGGGTGGGGATTGTGGGAGAGCTGGTGCTGTTGCCGTGTGAACGGAGCTCCATTGTCCCAGGAACCTTTCAGTGGCTTCCCCGAGGTCTGCACCTCCCCCTCTCCCTCACTCGATGCACTTTTGCTCCCATCAAACACACATATATACTCCGTATTTCACACACACACACACACACACACACACACACACACACACACACACACACACANCACACACACACACACACACACACACACACACACACACACACACACACACACACACACACACACACATTGTCTTATTCACTGTATCTAATCTGTCTCTGTCCCACTTGGTGTCTCATTCATCCACCCTCTTCTGCCTTTCCCGAGGCCCCGGCCCTCCTCCCTGCATGTTGCCCCYCCAGTCGCTCATTATTTTGCCCTCATCAGTATGATTGTCATGCAAGATAGACAGTGCAAAGCGAAAACATGCAATCTTCTAATTTGCATCACCTCGTTTCCTACACCGGGTGTTTCCCAAACGATTGTGCTGATTGCTTTGTCTTTGGGAACAATTCAGTCCTCATTGGGTGTATTTGTTGACCTAGTAGCGTCCCGTCATGGTGTAATTTCACACTTTGTTTTCCCTTGCTGGCAGGATGCTGCTGGGTTTTGTAGAGGAGGGTCTCTAGTTAAGAAAAACAGAGCCAGAGCTTTTCATTAAGGGTGTGAGCTTTTGTCAGGGACTCACAGAGTTCTGCCATGGCTTTTTTCTTACCTCTTACAAAATCCAGCTGCATCCTTTTGAGTCCCTGACATAAGCTAGCATCCTTAGTGAAAAATAGACAAAAGCTCACAAATTATCATTTTTTTATTATATTATTGTTATGTTATATATATACATTCTATACTGTGATTCACTTCGGTGAAGCTTTGCATGCACAGATAACAAGTATATACAACACTCATGGCTTCAGATACACGCCCCMCTAAACTCACTTACTCCTCTGKCTAATAAATCTGCTCTATGCAGAGGTTTTTTCATAAACACCATAGTGTGTCACATTGTTGAWATAATATGAYGTTTTGTTTTGTTTTTTGCTCATCTTCCCTTGTGTGGTTTTTAGTTTTTCTGTTAAGGGTTGCGCCAAAGTGAGSACCTCTTCAATGTCCTCACTTTGTTTGCAGCTCTGCTGTGCTTTACTAGTTAGGTTYAGAGGTATGATGTGAATTATTAGGTGTGAATTAAGKTTTGGTTCAGGGTAGGATTAGCTGTACACCTKTARTGGTTAATTTTAGGGAAAATGTATTGGTTAGGCATAAATACAGTTACAAAAATGAATGGAAGTCAATACAATGTCCTCAGTTTGATGCAAATACAAGGATGTGTGWGTGTGGAYGGGTTTTTCTTACAACGTGGGGAAAATTTTCCCAAAAAAGCAGCTTTGTGGGGACCGAAGTKCATCGTGGAGACCAATGCCCAGTCCCCACGGGTCCAAATGCAAATTACAGGTGTGGGGTTATGTTTAGGACCAAGGTTTAGGTTAGTTTTAGGGTCAGTTGTGAGGTTAGTTTTAGGGTATATGGTCAGGGTTAGCATATAAAGTCTAAAAACAATGAATGGAAGTCATTGTACGGTCCCCACGGGGTTGAAGAACAAACACGTGTGTGTGTGTGTTTTGGGCTTCATGTATCTGTCGGCTATTATTAACCCGCTGTCATAGTGCCAGATATCCTGTGTTTTTCCAACCTGCTTCTTCTTTTGATGATTTCTGTTATTTTTTTCTGTGAAACAGCACAGTAAAAACCCTGGATTTATATTTGAGAAACAGTGTGAGAACATTTTGATTGGAAAATGCGGCTGTGTTCCCATCTTTCCTTTCGGTTTCTTTATGAGCCATAACTATATTGTTCTGGCCAAGTGTTTTTTTGGACAGGAGGGAGAGATGGGACATTGGTAGAACCAGGAAACAGGAGCCAGACTCACAATTAGAAAACAGGAAGCAGGAAGAGCCTCTTCTCCCTGGCTTCTCTAGCCTTTTTTGTAATTGTCTGCTGTACTTTGAACTATAAAGAGTTTCTGATCAGAAGGAGCTGAGGTTTAATTTAGACACTCRAGCTCAGAGCTGCAGTGGGTGTAGGCAAAAGTACTCAGGGCTGTTTATATTGTCTGAATAAAAGCCAGTAACGTCAGTTTTCCAGCTGGGCCTGTGACAGTCTGGCCTGGGATTAGCTGGCACGCTGGATCTTCCTCTCTATAATGCTTTAATCTCTCTGCTGGTCGCCAGGAGTCTTCTGGCTTTGGCACCTTGCTGGTCATCGCTCGCAGCCCTCTGGTCAACAGCCCAATCACGCATAGTTTGGTTGTCATGCGAAAAAAGTACATGGAAAGATGGAAAATTGGATTTTACTATAAAATGCACTTCCTTACTGTAATTATAAAATTTAAAAAAAAACATCCACAAAACCAGTGGGTTTTTTTTGTGCATGTCACCCCATTTGCTCTGCTTGCCAACACTTTCTTCACATCTTTTTTATGATTTGAGTCAGTAAACYAAATTCTGTCCAAATGTATTTTATTTGATTGTTCTTGTATTTGTTGGAAAAGTTACATTAAAGACAGAGCTTCTGTATATAGCAGACAACTCGGCTCCCAGAATCAAATGAACTTGAGGTTCTTGAAATGTTTGCAAACAGATTTTAGTGTTTCCTGAGTCTGTGAGTCTGGATGAGAATGGAAAACCAGACTCTTTTATTTCCTGTTTTCTTATATAAATGCTGAAAATTAAAATCTAAAAGGAAATTTCTCAGATTTATTGTTTTATACCCATTGATATGTACCCATTTGTGTCACTAAAGTAAATCTAAATTAAACCAGGCAGTTTTATCTCTTGAGAATTAAGAGGTTGCCTTGCTGCAACTTTATAAACGACAGCATTAATCATTAAAGTAATTAGGAGTGTAATTGATGTCTTGCTCATTAACGCTCCTGATCAGCTACATCTGTGTCTCATTGGGATGTTCCCTGCTTTTCCCTCCAGTGGGAGCGTGAGGCCTCGCCATGCCGCTGGTGAAGAGGAACATCGAGCCGCGTCACCTMTGCCGGGGAGCGCTGCCCGACGGCATCGGCAGCGAGCTGGAGTGTGTGATGAACAACACTCTGTCCGCCATCATTCGCCAGCTCAGCAGCCTGAGTAAGACATACACAAACATAATTTTAATAAACAAATTAAAATGTCTGAATTTATTTTAAAAAAAAAGACTATTTTTCGGTCACACTAAAAAGTGTCTGAAACCACAGCATCCCCAGGGTAGGTTCAGTATGATGACGGCTGAACGGTGTGTAGCCTCTTTGCAGCAGATCACATGCTTTCATCATTAATCCCAAAGCTGTGATTGATTTGGTCGTTGTCATGGTTACAGTTTCAGGGTCACAGGACTTATTGCGAGCTTACAGCCGCCTCACACTGGAGCACGGAGCGTTGAAATGTAATCCTTTCAGACAGCGCAGCAAAACTGAACTTCTCAGTCCGCCTGTGTGCATGTGACCGTGCAGCTCCTCTGTGTGTGTGTGTGTGTGTGTGTGTGTGT